GCTACCACCACCTCCTTTTGAAAGCCCGCTACGCTACCAGTGCAGCTGCCTCCGCTGCAGACTCCAACACGCTGCGCGGCCACCAACTACATCGTACAATCCAACCCACCCAGTGGTCTCGAAAAGCAGGCGTGGCAGGACTCCCCACCTTTGAGGTTTTCCCGTGGCAATTGGCTTACCACGGCACCTCCGAGTTCACCGCCCGCACACTGAGCAACGGCAAATACACAGGTTTTATTGCCACCAGAAGCATAGCGGAGTCGGTTTTCGTGACCCATTTTCTCCAACAACTCCGTGAAAAGCGCCTTGACCTTGACGGCATCGCGGAGGCCCTCCACACCCAACAGAGCACAGACATCCCCAACAAAACCACCCATGCCCGAGCGTTTCACGCTCCCCTCATCAAACTACTTATCGACCAACTGCAAACCCACTCCCCAGCACCTGCGGAAGGCACCGCTCTACGCGCCCTCAAAAACACCAACGACGAACTGGCTCGCGCGCGTCAGAAACTCCAAGACCTGGGCAACCCACTCACACCAGTCAAGAGCACCAGCCGATCCTCCGCACCGGCCGCCCCATCTCATGCACCCACTCCACCACCACCAAAACCACCAGCCCTCACCGACGTCTTGCAACCACCACACCCCACGCTGCAAGACGATATCCCCGAAGGCTGGAACCACCCAGAGATCCAACAATGGGTCACTACTTTCGACCCCACCATCCAAGAAGCCGCCAAGGACGTCGTCCGTCTGCTGCAAACAAGCAAAGTCACCACGCAGCAGCTAAAAGAAGCAGCCACAAAGTATGGCCTACCCCTCAACCGGGTCAACCGACTCCCCATTCGCAGCCTACAACAGCTGGTGGGTGTTGGAGCAGCCATCGGTTGCTGACTCGCCATCCTTGCCCAGCAGCAACCCAGCCACACCAACCTCACCCAACTCTTCCACTTGCACCGAGCACTCTCTATGCTCATTCACCGCACCCAATACATCGACCGTGCCGAGGCCATCTTTGCAACCGGCCTTATCCATATCACCCTCCTTTTCGCATACCCTTCCAAGACCCATCGCTCACAACAATGGCGCAACCGTCTCCGCCAGCTCCACATTTTGCCCCCCACACCTACCACTACCACAACTTCCTCTCCTCCAATTCAGTCTACATCAAGCTCCACTTCAATCCCGACCAGCCCCAACGCTGCTACCATCAGCATGGCCACTTCTATGTTGGCTCCACAGCTATTGGCATCCCCCACCGCGAGCACAATCGCCGCGCCAAACTCAAACAACTCCAAAACAACATCCCCATTTCTGCAGAACTCTCCTTACGTTATTGGCATTCACACAACAACATCCACCACTACACCACCATTCAACTTACCTCCCATGACACATATGACCAAGCCTGGATCCAAGAGCACCACTACATCGCAAACTGGATGCCTCCGCTCAACTGGCCTTTCATTTCCCACCACCTCAAGCTCAAAGCTCAGGGATGGCAGTTCACAAAACACAGAGCCCACTTCTACTCCAGATTGGCCACCCACAAACGACTTTTCAGACGCCTTCGGCAACGCCAGTACACCCTCAGAGAACCACACCTCTACACCTCCACCAAGCATCACGCCCTCCAACTTCTTCGCAACCTTACCAAACACACCGCAGCCTCCTTTGAAGCAGCCAAAGAGCTACGAAGCGGCCGCCACACGGACCTCGAAGTCTATCCAATCCGGCGCATGGCCGCAAACCTGGAAGAACCTGGCCGCAGCCGAGCTCTCCACATCCTCAACAAAGCCCTGATCTACCGCAACCTCACGCCGCCAAAACATCCCATTGACAGTGCCCTGCCAGCAGTGGCTTCGTACTACCATCCAGCAGCACAAGCAGTTCACCATTCCCCTCCACCTCCCCTCCCACAGACTGAGAGAAGCCGCCCACAAAACCCTCCGCTCCCACCTGCATAACCACCGCACATGGGAGGACACCCTCCACTCCCCGCCAGATCCAGCAGACCTCCCCTGTGCATGCGATCACCTTCGCACCCTCTTGCAGGATCCCGATACCCCCACCATCAACGGCCACTACATCCTTACACTGGACCAACTCCAACTCCCTACACACCTTGGCATTTTTCTCAACGCCAATATGAACAGCACCTATTACCCAAGCAAGGCTCAATACTTCCTCATATTCAAGACGGCCTACACAAAATGGCTCAAACTACAAGGGCTTCCACCATCCCTCGTTCAGCATTTACAACCATTCCTTGAGCACCAATGGCGCCTTCACAACACACACCTCAAGCAACAACCCCGTTTTACGGCTCGCCTGCTTCGCCAACTCCAAGAACATTTGGGCAAACACACATTACTCCACCATGCCGACCATGAGCTCCAACAACTTCGGCTGTTTTGCCCTCGCCAATATTTCACTGGCGCCTTGAACACCTGGCAATCCCCCGAACTTTTCGAACCACTTCCCTACATCACTGCCGCCAACATCCACGACCACCTGGCCGCCACTGTCCCCCCCATCCTGCGCACTCGCTACAAGTGGGGCTTCCGAAAAGACTTCAACATTCCCTACGGTGTTGTCCACCTCAAGGAGAAGAAGCACTGGCAAAAAGGCCGTACAATCATTTCATACTTCCAATCACTCAGTGGCAACCTGCTACGCATCACCAGCCGTGCCCTGGACATCATCCTCCAACACCTCTACCCTCAACATCCAGGCCAAATGTCCATTCCCCAGCTTTGGCACCACTTTCACAGTTACCTCACCCAAACCCCACCAGACATCTCACTACACGCCACCAACGATGACCTGGTCGGCTTTTTCAACTCCGTTCCCCAGCACCGACTCATCGACGCAGTTCACTCCCTCGTCCACCACTGGCAACAACAACAATCCACACACACCTTAACGGTGGATGTCCAGGCCACCGGCAATCCTTTCCACCACTCACACATAGGCAGACACCATCAGAAACACCCCACCCAACGCACCATCCAGACTTCCGACATTACCACCATCGTGGCTTTTGCCCTCAACACATGCATTTTCCGGGCTTGCAACAATACTTACAAACAAATCCGAGGGGCCGGGATTGGATCCCAGCTCTCTCCAGCCCTATGCAACGTTGCCATCACCCTCATTGAGCACTCCTGGCATCAGATCCACAACAACCTCCTTCAACACACAGACCTCCACTTTACTTACTATCGCTATGTCGACAACCGCTTCATTGTCCACAACGAACATTTCCTTCAACACCCGGCTATCCAAACCCTCATCCACCACAATTTCTTTGGCGACCCTGTGGAACTCGAACCGGTGGAAGATTTTCATCTCCTCGGTTTCAACATCGACCTCCCACAACGCACCATCACCTACATGCAACCTTCTCAACCCTGGAAAATCCGGGATTCCACCACCGCCGGGAGCCAGCGCTTGGCTCTATCAGGCCTCCAATCACGACTTCACACCATTCGAAAATACACATTTCCACCCTTCAGCGCTGACGCTGCTGCGGCCGAACTCGTGAATCTATATGTCCAAAAGGGGCATAACTATCACGCCTGCCACCGGTTTTTGAAAAAGCGCCGAACGCGGCGACCTGTGTGTGTCCACCCCTGGACAAAGGGTCTTCCACCACCACTCTTTCCATGCTTTTCAACTACCTTGGACAACCACCTTATATAGGCAGGGGAGTGGAGCAGGCCTGCAGAGCTCCACTTAACAAAGCTCTCTGCAGTGTCCTGAGGATATCGGCCAGGACGCTGGCCGACGTACCTGCAAACAACGGTTGAGCAAGCTGTTCCAATCCTCTTTTTGTTTCCATGGTAGTTCATGATACCTCCCACAAACTTTCCACTTTCTCACACAGCTGACTTGTACAGAGGCTCGCCACCGCACACCTGTCGAAACATTGTTCAACAGTACAGTTTTGCTGACTCATGCACCTTTCCGTTCCCTCACCTTCCTTCCCAGCGGAGAAATTGAGCTTTAACGGAAAGCCAGTGTCGAAGTGTGTGAGAAAGGGGTGGGGCGGGGTGTTGGCGTCAAGGTGAGCGTGCGCATGTAACGATTCAAACACGTTACGAGTGGCGGCACAGCGTGCGCGACCTCGGACAGTTTCGAGGTAAGCACAGGAGTTTTGGTTTGCTGCCGTATTGGTGTTGGTTTGTTCGAGTGTATCGTAGTGTGTCACGTATTTTTTTTGCTCATTGCTGGTGCTGGCTGGACTGAGAGTTGTAGTTCTCTGAAGTTGATTACAAAAGCTCCGTGGGAGCGGACAGATCGATATGAACACATAGACCAGCAATAATGTGAAATCTGAAAGAGTTCTTGCCTTTGTCGAATCGAATCACAACACGTCACTCTCTGATGGAAATGGTCTCTTTGCACCTCTATCTCCAGGCAAGAGTTCAGATAAAGGCTCATAGCCCAGAAGTGGTCGAAAGAGATCTGATTACCTGCAACCAGGAAAAAGAACACCCAAAGAAGCACGACATACAAATCCGAATTAAACACAGTTTCAGGTACCAACGCAAAAGCCTCTTCCGGGCCCATGCCCACAAAACACCACCTTATCCAAACCTCTTTAAACGGGGGTAGGCCGTGTGGTAAGCCAACGTTGCTGAAGTAATGGGTTAGTTGTAGCTAATATACTAGTAGCTGGGACACAACAAATGGCACAAAGAACCGTACAGGTACAGATCCAAAATTTTACAAGGGCCCTGAAGTCCTGAAGGGGTCTTGCGTCAAATCAAAGGTCCAATGGCTGCCACGGCATGCCATGCATGCTGTGGCGGGTAGTTGGGGAGTCAGTTGGATGTTTGAGTTCTAGTCCTTTAAGCCTTTAAGCTCTCACTTTGCCTTTTTTGCGTTTTCGCTGTAAGGCAAACAGCCAAGTACAACCGCAAGACAACTGGATCTATGCAATGCCCCAGGAGCAGAAGAATCAACCTTCCACAAACACCCCCAAGTCAGTCTGGGTTCATCATGACTTTTGGGGGCGGAACCATTTCAGAGGAAAAGTGGAGAGATTTGGAATGCATTGGAATTCCCATTTAGTTGTTGAACAACTCCTTGGGCAGAGTGGCACTTTGATCGCACTTCCATGGCTGACAAGGAGGCCGAATTCAACAAAGACACACTTTATGATAGACCTGTCGAGGAGATTGCAGCCAAAACATGTTGATAGGGTTCTTCAATGCACAAAAGGGTCCTGCATACTGACTAACTGGCTGACTGCGTCATTTGTAGATCAGTGGAATCCAGCACATGATTGAAGCCTAGCCGAGCAGGAGAAGCTGGTCCGGCTGTGGGCAAAGCAACATGTGGAGGACTGGACATGCGCAGCACCAGAAACTTTTTATTATATGCATCGGAACTTGACTCAATCATTGGTTGCGGCCTTTAGGACAAGCACCTGGTTGGTGTGTTGAGAGCCTTGGAGGCCCATGATTCTTACCGGTAACAAATCATAGAATCATGCCTTGGCACTACTGCGTTTGAAATCAGGCTTGCCAACATGATATCCACCAGACGAAGGCACCAGAAAGAAACAAATAGAAGACTGGTAGAGATTGCACTTCGCTGGCACAGGGCTTCACGTTCCACCAAAACCGACTCCGTTACAGCCTCACCATTCTCGGTTGAACAACTCAATCTGGAATGGTATGACGTGAGATCATTTGCATTGTTATGGTGTGCTGAGGTATCACCGGCACCAAGGTGTGAGTACCCGACAGAGTTGACATGGGGAAAATCATGCTAGGGCAGATCTTGGCCGAGTTCACATTCTGACCCCGTGGACATTTCGCGCTGGTGTTTCTTGTTGGTTTTGCGAGCCTGTGCGTAGCTGTGTTGATTGTCGGGCAATATTGGTTAGGACAATGTCAATGGCACAGCATTTGAATAAACAACCTTTCTTGCAGGCTCGAAAGACAGCGCACAAAGCAGGGTTAGCCAGGGACCTCAATTGTAATTCTGTTTGCAGATGCGGTGCGGACTTGGCACTTTCCTCTCGAAGCGTTAGAGTAGTTTGGATTCTTCGAGTGACACACACATCTTATTCATGGTGCAGGCCAGACAGACAAGTTTTGGCATGGCTTCTGCTGAGCCCTCAGAGACCCAATGTAGCTGTCTAGGTGGGCTGTTTGCTACTAGTAGTAATGCCCTTGTGACTAGTAGCTTCTAGCTACTAGCAGTAATGCGGTTTGCCTTCCACTGCTTGGTCAACTTTGCACCTTCTCTCTCTCTCTCTCCCTTTCTTTGTTGACCGGATGAATCCTGCTTGTTGAACATCATAGAACTACAAACAATTTGGTGCTTGTGACCCTACTGTAGGCTGATCAAGTGAGACTGATGGAAGGAAAGCCCATTGAAGCAGATTAAAGTCCTTTGAAGTTCAATCGCGAGCAACTTTTGAAGGCCCTGCTGTTGCGCAGTCTTGGGTTCTTTGACATGGTCTTTGTGCAGACTGTTGTGGCTTGCTAGGAGACGGCAGGGTGCGTTGTGTTCCATGTTTTGTTTCTTTTCAGTTCCTGGATGTGTGGATGGTGGTGCACCATACCAAATGCGCTTTATAGATACTACACTACCGATTCCTTTTTTACTACAGTAACAGGAAAGATACACACTCACATATATGTATATATATATAATATATATATATATTATTGTTATTTTTATTACTATATATTTGCTATTCCCTTGGAAGTTCCTACAACACATGAACGGAAACACTTTACCCTCAAACCTGTGGAGCGCAGTGTGGAAGATGCTTTTGCCATGACAGTGCAGCAACACCCCTGCATCCTAAACCGTCGAGTCAGTCCATCTAGAATTGCCTAAAATGGTGAAGTCAAGTCCGAAGCATAGACATGATTGCATTTGCTCACTTTGGCTACCTTGTTTTCTAGTGTTTCTTTTTTTTCCTCTCTCTCTCTCTCTCTATCTCTCTCTCTTTTTCCCTCTCCCCATGCGAATTTAGTTTGTTGTCCCAACATAACGTGCACAAGACCAGCTTTTGCCCCCACCCCTGCGTAATGCAAACTAGGCGCATGCTGCCTTGGAGGATGAGAAGGTACGTGGGGGGGGGGGGCATTCTTTATGCATGTTAAGCTCATTGGCCATTGCTGGAGAGGGATGACTGCTACTAGCAAGAACGCTTTAAACAGGAACTTATTTCTTTTCACCCCATACTACCAGCAGGTGCTTAATTTCCTGAAGAATCAAGTTTGACCAGGGAAGAGGTTCCTTGAAGCTTTCGGGGCCTTTTGTCGCTTAGTAGCTCACTTCATTCTTACTACTAGCAACCACCCCCTAATGAACACGCCATATATGTCTCAGATGCAGCTGCTTGCTTAGTCTGAAGTCTTTGTGTCCAGGACGCAGAGCGCCGATCGCGGAAGGGTCTTGCCCAACGTCTGGATATCCAGCTTGTTCTACACCTTCCACGTGATGACACGAAGCAAGAAAAACATAAATTCGGAGTTTAGAGGAAACAAAAGGACATAAGAAGGTAAGGCCCCCTCACATGAGGCACCTTTAAAGCGGCCTTATTACAGGGGCCCTTACCTTCTGAGCTTCCTTTGTTTTTGTACTCTTGGAATCTCTCAGATTGTCATGTCATACAATCGTGTTTATGTGCAAGAGGATCGTTACTCACGGTTAGACCAACGAGCATATTTGAGAGAGCGATGGTTGGGCAATTAAGAAAAGACTAAGGCTCGTTTTTGCTCAACAGGGCGTCAAGTTCAGACATGAAGCCCGAGATGTGACTTGGTTGTTGGTCGTTTGCAAAGTAGAACAAGCTGCAAGCTGGTGCCTGCCATTGAAACATTAAGGACTCGGAGTTTCTACCAGGCCGGGGAATCCAAACAACCTTTTGCAAGAAATGGATTGCATAATTGTTAATATCATCGAATCCATAATTTTTATTTTATTTGTTTATATATTTTATCCAAACAGGCAACGAAGCAGAAAGAATTGGACGTGCCGGGAATTGAATCCATTGGACAATATTCATGACAACAAACTATAATAAATAAATAGAAATATATATTGTATTACTAGGTATTTATGGATATAATATATATTACTAAATATTTAAAATAACTAATCTATCATATATATATATATTAAATTGAATGCCAAATATATATTATAAATAACATTAAATAACATATTAAGATACAATTTATACATATAATATGAATAAATATTTAATATTTTTTTAAATGAAATTACTTAAATACATAAATTTTGTATATTTGTATACTATATTTTAATTATATATTGTATTTTAAAACAAATCCCTTTATGTGATCGTTTAAATTTATATGTCGGGTTTCGGTATAAAGGTAATAGACAATTATTATAATTAAAGATTTAAAATACGATTTTTTTTATTTCGATTTGTTTTTCTTCGGAATTTGGAATTTTTTAAATGAAATTTATTCGCGAATAGCTACGTTATGGGGTTTTGCAAAATTAATAGGCGGACCGGTATCGTCGGGTTATCGTTAGAGTTGGTGGGATGGTGTTTCGGTTATATTTTGATGGTGTCTCGGTTATGTTGTGACGGTGTATCGGAAATGTTGCCACGGTGTTCCGGTTATGTTGTGACGGTGTCTCGGTCGTGTTGCGACGGTATTCCGGTTATGTTGTGACGGTGTTCCGGTTATTTTGGGACGATGTCTCGGTTATATTGGAATGGTGTCGTTGCGCTGGGTTGGTGTTGTAATTATATTGGGATGGGGTTTTGTATTTTGTTATGTCGTGTTGGTGTTTCGGTTATTTTGCAATGGTGTATTGGTAATGTGTCGGTTATGTTTTGATGGGGTATTGGTTATCTTGTAATGGGGTTTTAATTGTATGATGATAATATTTATAGAAATAATGATTGATAGGGGAAATATAATATTTTAATTATTTAAAGTTAAGAAAACACGAACAAACGTGATCCCTAATTTGTTATGTTATGTGTTGTTTGTACCGGTAAATAAATAGTGTTATACCGACGCGCTTTTGGCTCAAGAAACAAATGCGCTCGTGTTTGTTTTAGCACTCGTGCACGCCGGTCGGTTCGATCGTCGTGCCGCTGCGTTCGTTCGCGTTCGTGCCTTTCGCGCATTTCGGATTGTGTTTGGTTTCGGGTCGGTTGCCATAGGAATTCCTTCCCTTAACTCATATCCCACTCCTACACCACGGGGACCAATCCCATTCGGGACTCCCCGTCGTGTTTTATCCCATACTAGGGTTTAAAACACAATAGGCTATCTTGCCCGAACACTTCCCACTCCGTAGGTTGTGGTGACTGTTTGGCGTTGATATCCCTGAACCCTTGTCACTTTCATTGGTTATTAACCGTAGGTTTAACCAATCTACGAGTTCTAATAGTCCGCCTCTAATAGACTCGATGCCTAGAGTGACACCTCCTAGATCCCCACGCTCAGAGACTGTACAAGCCGCAGCCTCTGGCGCGGACTCTTCGATAGGACCAAGTGTCGCCTCTATTCCTGACCCAAGATCCGAGCCAGCAGACGCCGCAGTGCAAGCCGCTGCTCTAAGCGCGGATTCGTTAGGGGTAGGCATGGATGAGCCAGAGGTTGAGGTGACGTCCTTGTCCGAACTAGGTTCCCTAGTTATCGATGCATTGAACCTGTTCATCGACAACCAAGACCCACCAGCCGCTGCCGCAGGCGCGGGTTCAGATAGCTCAAAGTGGGCAGGAGCAGCCTCCAGTGCTGACTCTGGTCCGACCCTCTTTCCGCCTTCCATGATTGAACACGAGGATAGAGACCTTGAGCTTGAAGAACCCTTCGCCGGTCCAGCGAACCTAGAGGCATTGGACGATACTGAGACCAACCCTCTCGATAGCCCCACAGCCGAAGGCCATCCGGCCCCTGTGGATGAGCATTCATTAGGTAATACCCATGCTAGTCCCTCCCCTGACCAAGACCAACCGGTCCCAATGGAGGAGACTTCGATAGCGCGAACGCCCCTAATCCTGCAGACCAAGGTGAGTCATTCCTTGCGGAGGAGGAGCTTGAAGAGTTCGTGCCACCCGAGCGCTTGATTGAGCAAGCTTCACCAACCCCCAATAGTCCTCCCCTCCCCACTAATAACCTGTTTGATCCACTTGGTGACGACAAGGAGTCCTCTGCCGAGGACGCAATTAGTGAAGGGATTGCGCAGCGCATCCAAGAGCAGTACGATTTGGAGGCTGCGCTTGAGGAGTCCGCTAGAGCTGCAGGCGTCGAACCTGAGCCAGCCGATCTAGGTGTAGGTGAAGCCGCTGCCACTGGCGCGGGAAAAGATGAAAGAGACCGTACACGTAGGAGGGGTTGCAGAGCTGGTGCCAAGCACGTTGCAGGCCGTGAGAACCCGTTGTCAAATGGATTTCATACAATCAGGGAACGGAGGGGCTCGCTAGCCATTGAATGACGTCGGCGCGCGCAAAAAGCACAAACAAAAAACGCCTGCAGATCTTCATGTTTTCCCTCTTCTTTACTTCTCTCGAGGCGAGGGGTGGGACGGACGAGACGCCAGGAAAGTGAACCCTTTGTGACATCGCAATAGCGTTGGCCTCCAACGTAATAGCTTCAATAGACGTAGAAATATTGAGCGATTCAATAGCAATATGCAATTATTCGTCATCCTTTCTGCGTGACTCGCGCGTGTTGAAGTCACGAAAAATTGAGGTCAAATGCGAGTTGCGCGGGCCCGAAAAGAACCTACTAGCTTCTTGTTACTAGTGGTAAGGCCAGGAGCTACTAGTAGCGTTCTTTCTCCTAGTAGCGATGCCCTTTGTTACTAGTAGCGTCTTTGCTGCTTCCCTGCGCAACCCTTTCGGGAGATCGCGTGTTCGAATCGAAATCGCAAGTAAAATGTGTATTGCGGATTCGCTCGCAATACCCTTGGCGAGGAATGCGCGCGTCGAGCTCCTGAATCGCAGACAACAAGAAAGTGCAAGGTCTCTTGCCAAAGCGTGAGACCGTTTATGCAAATTTGAAGCCAGAGATTGTCAAAGTGTGGAACTTGCATCAAAAATGCATCAACGGTGGACGTTTCAATCCCGGAACGGGAAGTTGAAAAGGGATTTGAAATTTGAAATGTTGCATTTTCGGTTCCTCAGCTCTCACAGCAATCGCAACAAACGGCTGAGAATTCTTGATCTCTTTCAGTCGCAGAACCAATATGCATGAAAAAAAGGCAGAACTACCAGAAAAGCATAACCTCGCGAGGCAAGAGCCTGCCATGGAAGGTTTCACACACACTGCAAGTCTACCAACAAAAGTTCAGATTTGTCAGTAGTTTGCGCGTGAAGAATCTGCAAAAAGCCCTTCCAATATTCAAGTGCCTGGCAAAAAAGGCTTCTGTAGTAGCTGTCGCCTTCCTTGAGGAGACGGCTCCATTCAAATGATTCCTCGGAACATGGGGGTTGGCCGGGCTGGCCAGCCATGTTTCAATGTGTTCCGCTATGTGAACTTGCTGGGAACATCGCAAGTTGCCCCAGTGAACGCAAAATAATGTGATTTCATTAGAAACTCATGATATCCCACCCAACAAGAACAGAACACACAATGGTGAAAAATTGCGAAATTTTTTCTCCCCAATCATCCGATTTTGCGCGGCTACGCTCGAGGTCAAAAGAGGGTTAAACGGAGTGGACGTTGAGAGGGTCAATTGGGCAAACGTACGTTCAAATTTTAAGTTTTGCGTTTGCAAGGGGCGATCCTTCCAGCAACACTATGGTGCTAGTGCGCGTAACAGAAGAGGATGATCGTTTTGAGGCCTGGATAGTGAGCCGTCTTGTTTGAAAGGCACAACGTTTGGAGAGAGCTTGGCGATTCAAGGATAGAACGTCCAACCAGAAATCGCTACGTCTCTGGACAAGCTGATGTTCAAACAACCTCTCTCTTCTTTAAAAAATCGACAAAAGCTGTGTCATTCCACAAATCAAATTCATTTATTTGTTGAAGCAGATAGACCATGCGAGATTGTAATAATTTGCAACCAACAAACGGAGGATGTTGGTTGTATCGAAAAATAAATTATAAATTGTTTCATGTTGCAATGGTTCAGGGTGGCCGTTGCAGATTGAACTTGAAAGGGGCCAAATATCGTGATTTTAAAAACACATATTCTCCAGAAAAGGTATCTACAGCACCTACGAGACCCTACCCTGAACCACGCTTGCAAAAACAAATGTTTGGATACAACAACCCCTCATGCTTGCGTAAGCTTATTGTCCTTCGAGTTATCCCCACCATTGACATGTCTTGGTAGTGTATGTGTGTGTATTATGTTTTGTTTCTTCGCGAATGCCTATATTGCTGCCAGACTAGGCAACGTTACACAAGCATTGTTCTTCCACAGATTGCGGCTGAACTGCTGGCGCATGGGTTGGGCAGGAAAAATACATACTGTACAAAATTGTAACAACATGTGAACATAAAGTAGCGCAAGGAGGGCGGTTCAACCCCCCATACCTCACTCCCTACCGCGTACCTCATTCCCTACCTCACTCCCTACCTCCATCCATACCTCATAGCCGGCGCATCAAGCAAAAACACTGTCTGGAAATAACTCAACATTTCAAATTGCAATCGCTAGACAAAAAGCCACAAAAGGCGTTCATGGCAAGGGCAAACAAATCCATACCTCACTCCCACGAAGGATGCGTGACTCTCCGAATCGCCAAAAATTCAAAGAAATGCTGCCACATTTTTGGTCTTCCAAACCAAAAATTGTCAAAGTGAGCACCGCATGCAAGTCCGCTTTTTTTTTACGCCACAAAAATAAACGTAGCAAGCTAGCGTCATGTTGCAAGAACCCAAAGTTCACAGCTTATGTGTAAAAAAAATAAGTTCCAAAGCTTAAACAATTAATAGGCCAAATGCACTTTTAGAAAAACTTGGAAAAAAAAAACAAAGAACTTAAGGACTAAACTATATATGTTTCGAAACTTCCAAATCTTTAGAAGGAATAATTGTCAAAACATAAATTTGTATAATATGTTTCGG